GGCCGCCCTGCGTACGATTTGTTTTGTTTTTGTGTGAGTAAAGAGAAGCATACCGACACCAAAAATGGTCATTTACAGCTGGGGAAAAGGTAAGACGGCAAGACAGACAGAAATAATATAGGGCCGGAAAGCAAAGAAGACGGGAGAATAGTACGATGCGTTTGTTTCAGTAAAGGGAAACACATCGACACAATAACGGCCATCTAGTGTTGGGTATAAGTAAGACAGACAGACAGACAGAAACAACAAAGGGAAAGTAAAGAACTAGGACCTACCATTGACACACTCCAACCACCCGCAACAAGAGAGTAACAAACACATAAAAGAAGGGGAGATAGGAGGGATAGATGCACGTTGTAGATTGATAGGAAAGAAGGGGGAAACCAGAGCATCCGCCAACAACCCACAGGCCATTCAGAGCTGGGAGTAGAAATTTAGCCAGACCCACATGCATAACAGAAACGAAAGAGAGAAACAAAAGAAGTTGTAGCCAGCAGTAACATCCTTCAACCACCCACATTTAGGTTCGCTAGTCAACACAACACGGCCCCTATTCGCCTCACAAGCCGGAGAAGACAACGCCAAAGAGCCTAGGCTTTCTGAGTCTTTTTTAGTTTGGTTTTAGTATGAGTTTTACGGAACTTGCAACACAATAAGGTCATATAAGTGCCGAAGATTAGAAGTGTTACAAGAGAGTAACAAACACAAAAAGAAAGAGGGGAGATAAAGACGATAGATGTTTGATAGAAAAGAAGAAGCAAACCACACCAGAGCACCTGCCAACCACCCACACTTTCCGAGTCGAGCCTAGCAAACAGCCCAACAACATGCTTCGTTTTAGTTGGGGTTTTTTAAAGTTTTGCGGCACATGCAACACAAACAAGTCATATAATAAGTGAAGATTTAGTTTAAGTTTAAGTTTTTGTAGGAGTTTTAAGGCGCTCGCAACTGCATTAGGTCATATGACCGCCAAAAGATTAGAGTTAGAGCTGTTACAAGAGAGTAACAAACATAAAAAGGAAGAAGGGGAGATAAAGACGACAGATGTTTGATAGGAAAGTTAAAGAAGAAGCAAACCACACCAGAGCACCCGCCAACCACCCACACAGTGAAGATTTGAGGTGTAATTAGAGAGCGACAAACAAAGAAACTGGGGACAGGTAAGGACGATAGATGTTTGACAAACGATAGATGTCTGACAGGAAAAAAGAGCAAACCACACCAAGGCACCCGCCAACCGCCCATGAGTTTGACAGGCTTTTCTCAATGTCAGAATGCTCTATTCTCATTGTTTGGGCAACAGTCCAAATAACATTAGTTTGACAAAATAAAACCTCATCGCCACAACAACGGCCAACATTAATGGTACGACAAAAGTGAGATAGACAGCCACCCACAGCAACACCTGTCTCAAAAGCAACAAAACTAAACCGAAGGAACATAACATTTAAAATACATTTACAACTAAACGCTAATAGGCTGGCTAGGCGGGCAACTCATGAGCGAATCCCAAACACATCTTCTCTTTCCCAGCACAATACGTAACGCAACAAGATCATTCCAGAACGATTTCTCTCTAGTAACTAGTTATGAACGTTCTAAAAAAAAAAAAAAGAACAAACCGTGAAAACAAAGCCACCTAGAGCTGGAATTGAGCAAGACAGGTAGAAAGAAAAACAACAAAAAGTGTAGAGAAGGATTACCTACAATCACAATCCCCATGCAACCACTGTTATGTTTGGATAAAGGATAAAAAAAAAAGCAGTACGTCAACACTATAAAGGTCATTTAGTGCTAGCGAAAAGAGTAAGATAGAAATAGCACGGAGAAGAAAAAGAAATATTGACGCACTGGTGACATCCCCAACCACCCATGTGCAACCATCCTCATTGAATCATACAAGTCAAAGCATTACATTATAGACATTTTCCCAAACGCTGGAGCACACAACACTAAAGAGCCCAACAATAAATTTAGTTTTAGCAATAGTCTTACAGCACTTGCAACACAAATAAATCATACAAGTCCCAAAAAGTACGTGTTAGTAAAAGTGTAACATAAAAGAAGAAATGAAGGAGGATAGAAAACGAAGACGTTTTATTCGGAAAGAAGGAGCAGACCACATCAGAACACCCGCCAACCACCCAAACAAATAGGTCATACAGGTGCCGAAGATTAAAGGTGTTACAACCAACAACAAAAAATAACATGCAATGCAAAAAGGAGGAGGAGGGACCAGCAAGATAGATGTTTGACAGCGAAAAAAAAAAAAAGACCAAACCACACCAGAGCACCCTCCAACCACCAGCTGAGGGGAGATAATGAAGATAAATGTATGACAGGACAGAAGGAGTAAACCACACCAGAGCGCCGGCAAAAGCCACCACCGGCACTACTGCACGACGTGGTATGCAAAAGGGGACCACCAATTACGTCACCCTTTGTTCGCGCCACACGACATGGAGCTGTGACAATGCAGCAAGACGGCTACTAAAAGCTCAGGCCGACACTGGGGAGGGTGTGGGGGGAGGCAGTTTTTGCTGATGTAGAACAATGGGACGGTCTCTCTCTCTCTCTCTCTCTCTCTC